AAAGTTTTGAATTATTTATTGTTATTTTATATTTTGCTAATTAGGTATATATAAAGTCGAATACATACAATTATTTTGAAATATTTATTTATAACTTTAAATAAGACCAACAAACTGAAAAGGGCATCATCAACAATATAAAAAGATTATTGCCTGGGTTTCGAACACTCATCCTACCAGTGCTGACATATGGGTCAGAAACATGGACCATCTCCAAAACAGACGCAAATCTTCTGCTCATCTTCGAAAGAAAGATACTAAGAAGAATAATGGGCGCATTCTGTGAGAATGGTATTTGGAGAAGGCGATATAATTTCGAATTGTACGAGAAATATAAAAAAATAGTAAATGGTAGAGATGTAATATCCTTCATAAAAATAGGCAGGCTTAGATGGGCTGGACATGTGTCAAGAGCAAATGAGAATTACCCACCCAGACGAACTCTATTATCGGTCCCAGTGGGAAATAGGAGTAGAGGCAGACCACGACTGAGATGGAGGGACGGTGTGGACGAGGACGCAAGGAAAATCGGCGCGGCTAATTGGCAACGGTTGGCGATGAACAGAAACGACTGGCGAAATAGACTGGGGAAGGTCAAGGCTCAACTAGAGCTGTAGCACCACTGATGATGATGATGATTGCCTGGGTTTAAAAAATTAGTGAATAAATATTTAATGTAGTAAATGCAGTAAGCATATCCTAGGATCCTTCAAAAATGAAGCTCAGTGGTTAAATAAATGGTTTGAAATTATGCACAGATGTATTAATGTCATGTGAATACATTCTAAAAAGCATTAAGGTGATTGTTATAAAAAATTTAGTTTTTTGTGATTAAAAATTTAAATAACTGCCCTCATCATTAAAGATCAATTTCTACATAAGTTTTACCAAAAGGATTTTAATTACCTAAAATTAACACCAGTTTTTTGATTTCTTATCCCCTTGATCATTTCCAAATGAGTGCATTTAAATTCTTTGCCTGGAAAGAGCATTGTTGCTAGCACTGCAGCTTTGGAATGTGTATGGATGACAGCTCCTGCATTCCTCATTGTATATGCACACATGAATAAAGGTGTGCACTGGCTCTTTTTAAGCTTTTTCTCTGGAGGAGGGAGTTCTAAATCTTTGTTGTCTATGGTCTGGACAAACATATCCTCTGGTTTAATTCTCTCCTTTTGCACTGCAGATGGAGCAATATAAATTTTGTCCTCATGTTTTATGCTAATACCACCACCTATAACACAAATGTATTAATATTCAGTTATTGAGAATTATTTAGTTGGAGTAAGTTGTGAAATTTATATTTAAATTATACTGACTGGTAATTCAGCACATTTATAACTTTCAAAAGTTACAAATGTCAGTACATGCTAGAAACACTAAATGAAGTGCACTCTAATAAAAAATTAAGACTTAATTTTAATAGTACATCTTACCTGTTCCTGTAACCCAACCTAAATCATAGAATTGCCGACATAATTCAGGAATCAAATTTCTTGGGTGTTCTTCAGAGAAAGCAGAATCTCTGTAGGCCATTTTTAAATCAAAATTAAACCTTAAAAATCTATAACAACAACGTAATCCAAGATAAAATTTATATTAATTTAAAAGGTCAAAACTTAACATAACCTCTATTTACTTCACTATCTTGTTTGTGAGTCTATCCCGTTTTAATCTGTACATTTGCGGTGAATAAATATGCGATAGCGATATCCCAGATGTAAACAAAAAGCATTGGTGTACATTGATAAAAAAATTAAAGGAATCGTATTTTTACAGATTTGAATAAGTTTTTCAATTTGATCTTTGTTAGCATAAAGTGGACGTACATATTCATTCATAGTAACTAACATTACATCAATGGTCAGCAAGAAATCATTTAAATTTCAAATAATAGTAAACCAATTTTCAAAAAGAAATAGAAAAATATTTTGCCCTTTTTAAAGCCATACATCGGCCACAGTAATTCTTTTAACATTAAACTGTGTTTCGGTCATCTTATTCAGATATATAACAATACCGTCTTAAGTCACGGTCAAAATAATTTACACGGGTTTAGGAGAGCATGAGGAAAAATCGAAAGTAGACATTACTAACACACAAAAACTGAGACTACAGTATTGCTCATAATTTACCGTTTATAATTCTAGCTTTGATATAGTAGATTAATTTATGTATTTAGCTTCTTTGTAGCCAATGAGAACTCTATCACAGAAGAAATCAAAGAATTACACGGAAATTACAGAGGATAGTTCTAGCAAGGAAGTTTACTTTGGGATGACTAGATAACTAAAAAACAGGAACTTCCAACAACAAGCTAGAAAACAATAATATACCTTGTTTTTTACTCTTGTATTATACGTCTAAGATGTTATTAGATGCCGATATGCCAAAAATTAGATGGTGTGAATGAGGATGTTAAAGCAATTAATAGGATATACCGACAATGGGTGTAAACGGAGAAATCAAGACTTAATGACAAATAAACTTGGAAAGGTCCTCGCTATATTTTAGGGCTATAGCACCATTGATATAATGTAGTAGGTACCTATATAATAAAGGAGAACCGCGCAGAGGAAATTAGCTAACTCCCTAGGGTAAAAAGATCTTCTCAAAAAAGGAAGTAAAATCAGTCAGAAATGTATTTAATTTTGAAATAACGTACAAAGCAATGAAAAAGAAAGTAATAAACAGGAAAAGTCATCTTCCAAAAACAGCCCGCTGAAATCTAATTTCGTTGAAGGTAAGCGAGTAAGAAATCACCGAAAAACTTAAAATAAAAGAACTTAGCCGTGTAGATAAGCTAGGAAAGAAAATGGCAGGACAATCAGTGATCCATATAAAGCAAAATCCATTAGTAGGACAAGGAAATACGTTTTTTTTTCGTGACACTGAACCGGCCAGGCAAACGACAGTTGTATCGAGCAGTATGAACCTCTGTAACAAGAACCTATATGTTTCCTGCAGTCGATTTTTTAGACTTACTTAGTTATTAACAAATTAAGGTCAAAAAATGGTAAATTTTCACTGTTTTCGTCTATGAGTAAAAAGTAAAGCATTTGAAACAAATTTAAGACCAGTAAACTTATAAGCCTTCCCCGGGGAACTATACGCGGGGGGACTATACCCCATGCGGGATAGGCTCCCAGATGTGGGTGGTACCGGGGAAATGAAATACCCAGCGTGGACCAAAACTAGCAAAAACAGTAGCGTCTAATTCAGACTGGACGGCTACGAACAGCGTCTGGCCCAGAGTGAGTGGCTAATACAGAACTCACCAACCCATCTCGTAAGCGAGGTGTTTTAATGCAAAAAAAAACTCTTCAGGAAACATGTCGAATTATAAAACAAACGGAATAGGACCCCAGGTGGGTAGAGTTACTAACTCGGAATCACACACCGGGAAACTGGTTCGCCTCAAGGATTTTGGGGGAGGAAAACTGACTAAAAGACAGTGGGATATTATCGGCATATCCGAAGTAAGAAAAAAAGGAGAACAAAAAATACAGCTAAAATCAGGAAATTTGCTATACTATAAAGGTAATGAAGAAAACACCAACAATGGAGTAGGATTTATAATAAATAAAAAAGTAGTTAAATATATACAATCTACCAAGGGCATATCAGATAAAGTAGCATATACGACGCTTAAATGAAAAAGAACATCCTTAAAAATCATACAGGTGTACGCTCTAACAAGTACCTACAGTGATGCCAAAATAATCGAGGACTTCAATGCCAAAATAGGAGAACAACTATATAAAGAAGAAGACAAAGTAGGACACCATGGATACGGCAAAAGAAGTGATAGAGGACACACATTGATGAATTATTTGATCTAAAGAATTACAAAATATGATGGATGAATTAAATATGGAATCAACAAAAATAGGTCTATAAGAGAATTATATTAAAACGAAAATTATGACCAACCAACCAGAAGAATTAATAATTACAAACAACTATAGAACAATTAAAAGAATATGTATATTTGGAACAAGTAGTTAAATTAAATAAAGAAAATAAGACCGGAGAAATAAAGAGAAGAATACGGTTGGCTTGGGTATTCTTCGAAAAACTTTCCTATGTACTAAAAAATAGAAAATACCCCCAATATTTAAAAACAAGAGTCTTCAACCAATGTATACTTCCTATTCTCACCTACGGTTCTCAAACTTTGACGTTTACAGAGGAAAACATGGAAAAAATAGCAAAGACCCAAAGAGCCATGGAAAGGCAAATGCTGAACATCAGGCTATCAGACAAGAAAAGAAATACTTGGATCCGCAACAAAACAAAAGTGACCAATGTATCAACGCAGATAGCAAAACTTAAGTGGAAGTTCGCTGGACATACCATAAGACAGAAAGACGACAGATGGAATAAGATTATACACTGGAGACCATATAGTTACAAACGAAAAAGAGGAAAGCCACAAATAAGATGGTCAGATGACTTGAAGAAACAGGCAGGCCTGAAGTAGATACAAACTGCGTACAATAGAGAGACGTGGAAGAATGGAGAGGAGGCCTATGTCCAAAATTGGACAGCAAGGGCTGTATAGATAGAAACAATTAAACTTATAAGCCATATAAAAATCTTCAAAATGGAGTTTTTTTAAACATTTTTCTAGCCTTATTTATTGCTTAGAAAGTTGCAAAATAAGTCAACAATTTCGGTTTTTATAAAGGTTAATAATTTTTTTAAAAATAAACCTAGAATCTTCATATTACACAGAATAATTGTTCTTGTAGTGGTCAAAACATGGACATATAAATAAAGATTAATTAAATAATATATCTTTATTTATACGTCCATGGGTCAAAACAACTGTCGTTGACCTGGTCGGTTCAGTATCACAAACAGGGTACTTTTTTTTTATTATTTCCCTGGCCTATAAATAAACATCGTCTATAGAGAATAATAAAATTCGTAAAATATACAGCAATCTAGAAATTTACAGAGCCATAGATTTCCAACAAGAATAAAAAAGAAAAAAATAATATTAAAATATTTATTTTCCAATAAAAAATTAAACATTAGCTAACCCGCATAAAATTTTCTTAATTCTTCTCCTCATAATAAATTATTTATTCGTGTTAATTCTTTTTTGGATATAATACATCAAAAGGATATTTTTTGTATATACTTTCTACGACATTCTCGGTAAGAGTGGCTATTATTTTTTCAAAAACGGGTGAAAATTCTTCCAAAAGCACTTGGTAATTTTCATTTAAAATTTGATTCGCGCGTTGAGTAAGGTCTTCGTTGCCCTTAAATAGATCATCGAATTCAAAACCGCATTTTCCTATGTCCATTTTTATCTTTGTGTCTGTAATATGTAGATGTTCTTTACCATTTCTTGTAACTACGTCAAATGAAACAAATATATTCGTTTTGACTTCAGCTGAAAATAAAAAAATACCTTTAGTTTTTTTTTTTAAAAATATGTTTGTAAATATATACTACATTTAAAAAATTGTTAAAGTACATTCAACATCATCATTCTAGTTTTACAAGTCTGTGTAGGTCCTAGCCTCCTTAAGAATTTATCTTCAGTCGTCTTTATTCATCGCCTTCCTCCGCCAAGCACGTTTTCCAATATTTCTCATGTCTTTATTTATTTATTTATTTATTTATTTAATTAACGGATATACCACTTTTACAGAAATATGACGTCAACCTTTACAAAGCTTATACATATATATAGGTTGCGTTAATAAAAAACAAACTAAAATTAAAATCAAACAAAATTCAATTAAAGTAGTAGCTTAAGTTATTAAATAATGCTCAAAATCTCTCAAAGGATTTCTTAAATGTTGCTGTAGATATTCCAAATAACTTTAAACTATTGCTGTGCTCATTGGCAGTTCGTAAAATTCTTGTAATGGGTTCATTTTGGCCATAATTCGTAGTGTGGAATGGAATGTTGAAAATCTCAGTGTTACGAGTTCTTCTAGTATTAACATTAAAATTTATTAAACCTAGTAACTCTGGATCTTGAACATATCCATTTATAATTTTAAAAAGGAAACATAAATCCGCTTGACATCTTCTATCATGTAGTGATGAGATATTTAGTATTGACAGTATATCATCATATGTGTATTGATGTCTAATAAAACCAATTTTGTAAGCACATACCCTCAAGAATTTATTTTGAACTCTCTCGATACTGTAGATGTCACTGTTATATGAAAGAGACCAAATGAGAGAACCATACTCCAAAACTGATCGAACTAAACTACAGTATAACATTTTTAAAGTTTGTACTGAAAACTGATTACAGTTTCTAAGAATAAATCACAACATGTTTAAAGCTTTAGCCGAAGTTTCGTTAATGTGATATTTAAAAGTTAGTTTAGAATCAAAATTTATACCTAAATCTTTAATGTTATAACATGTCTCTAAAGGTACATTATTTATACAATAATCATAATTTACAAACTCTCTTGTTCTTCCAAAAGTAATTTTAAAACATTTTTGTATATTTAAGTATAGCATGTTTACCTCACACCAACTAGCTAAGCTTTTAATGTAATTCTGTAACAAAGAGGCATCAACTAGGTCATTAACTATTCGAAATATTTTACGGTCATCAGCAAACATTAGAAATTTACTATTTTTAATCACTGAGGATATATTATTCACAAATATATTAAATAAGAGAGGTCCAATATGAGACTCCTGAGGAACTCCTGAGGTTACGGATACTCGTTGAGATAAACAATTTCCATATTTAACTTACTGACATCTACCAGATATATAACTACCTATCCACTCAATTATTTTACCTCCAAATCCATAGCCATTTAATTTAGCAATAAGAAGATCATGGTTAACTCTTATGTTATGATCATGGTTATCGAATGCTTTTGAGAAGTCTGTGTAGATAGCGTCAACCCATCGAGTTAGAATCTAGATTAGTTAGATTCTAACTCGATGCGTCAACCTGACCCTTCTGTTCCACTTAAGTAGCTATAGAAAAGCCATGTTATCCAACATCAATTAAATCTTTAAAATTCGATGTCAAAAAGTTATTTACAAGACACTCAAAAAGTTTGGGTAATACAGATTGGTTACAAACCGCTAGATAATTTTTAACATCATTTTTAGTACCAGATTTGAAAATTGGTGTTAAATAACTAGTCTTCCAAAGATCAGGAAAGATGCCGGTACTCAATGATTAATTAAAGTAGCAGATAGGTTTTACAATAGTAAAAATGCAATGCTTGAGAACATAAGCTGGCAAACAATCTGGTCCAAGCGATAATTTCCAAGACATCTTTAAAACGCTATCAATTATGTCAGAGACCTCAATACTATAGTTATTCACATTTACACTCTGCTGATAGTTAAAAATTGGGATCTGATTAATTTTAGAATTAGAATATGTAGTTGAGAAAAACTTACCAAATAGATTAACTACGTCTTGAGCATTATCACTTGTACTATCACCGTAGAACATATTAGATGGCAGAGTATAACTTTTACGTTTATTATTGATATACTTCCAAAAATGTCGAGGATTAGATAGAATCCCATTCTCAATATTATTCAAATAGTTACTATAACATTGAGAAGAGACTTGTTTACATTCATTTCTTAACTGAGAAAATCTTAAATAATCATCCCTTCTACCAAATAATTTATACTGTTTATGTATTTTCTTTTTTTAATATATCAACTTCCTTAATTTACCATTACAACAAATCTTCTTCTTCTTCAAACCAAGTCTTTATCGATGTTAACAAGGAATCTTGTTCCGGGTCTTCCTTTTCTTCTCTGACCAATGGGTCTAGCTTGGTCATTTTGTTCCATCCGCATTCCATGCCCTATCCACCTCAGACGTCCTATCTTAATACGTTTTATGATATTAGGTTACTTGTTCTAAACTGAAAGTTGTATCGTCTTCTTCACACTCCATTGTCATTCACCGTTCCATAGATTTGCCTTAGTACTTTTTTCTCCAAACATCCTGTTTTCATTACTTTTTGCCAGAGTCCAAAGTTGTTTGTGAAAATTCTGCGGTTTATCTCTGCGATAGTATTGGATGGAACAAACAATGAACTTAAAAGACACGTTTCCAAGTGCCAACGTTTGTTCATTGTGGGTGCAGGAAATAAAGCAGGTTTTATCGGTGGATCTTTTGTGAGATGGAAGTCCCAAACAAAATCAGGTGATTATCAAAATGGTGATAAGAATCAGTTGCGCACCCAGAATTTGTCTGAGGGGAGATGGTTTTGAATTTTTTTTATGCTACCTCTATTTTTAGTCCCTAAAATTTGAGTTTTAGTTTAATTTAAAGTCCTATAGATAGCAGTCCAAAGATTCGGGTATCTATTATTCTTCTTCTTCTGGTAGCACTACAACCCGGGGTGGGTCTTGGCTGACTGCACAACCTGATTCCATCTCGAACGGTCGGCCATGATGTTTAAGTCAGTGGGTAGCCCCATTGTTCTCAAATCTGAACATATATTATCTCTCCATCGCATTCGTGGACGTCCTAAGGGCCTTCTCCCTGTCGGAACTTCTTCCCAGATTAACTTGGTATGGCGGTTATTAGGGAGCCTATGAACATGGCCAGCCCATCTTAGACGTTGGGATTTAATCTCTTGGACTACGTCGCTAGCACTATACATTTTTTTGACCTCGGCATTTGTTCTCATTCGGTATTGGTTAGAATTCGGATCGTGATAGGGACCGAAGATCTTTCTGAGGATTTTTCTCTCAAAGCATCTGAGTTTACTTTCCATTGCTTTTGTCAGCGTCCACGTCTCACACCCATACATGAGCACCGGTTTAATTACTGTTTTATATATCCTGATTTTTGATGTTCGTGTTAGGCTCTTGGATTTAATAGTGTTGTGGAGGCTATACATACATCTGTTTGCTGCCTGAATTCTCCCTTTTATCTCTTCCGTGATATCGTTATCTGTGGTGATAGTCGCTCCGAGATATTTAAAACTCTCCACTCTTTCAAAGTTATAGGGGTCTATTGTTACATTTTGTCCTATTCTATCTCGTCTCTTTTGTCTGTTAATGCACATATATTTGGTTTTCTCTTCATTGACCCTTAGACCGGTATTTTTTGCCTCTCTCTCTCTAATTTATTGAAGGTTTCTTTTACATTGGTGACGGTATTTTCTACAATGTCAATGTCATCCGCGTATGCTAGTAGTAATTTTGGTCCATTTACTGTCAGTAGTTCTGTTCTAATTTGTGCGGTTCTTACTACTTTTTCCAGGATTATATTAAAAAGAAGAGGTGACAGCGCGTCTCCTTGTTTCAGTCCACTGTTTATTTCAAACGAATCTGAGAGCTTGTTACCTATCCGCACTCTAGATCTACAGCCATTTACACAAACTTTAACGAGCTGGATAAGTTTTTTTGGAACTGAAAGTTCTGCCATTGCATTCCACATCTGATTCCTTTTAATGCTGTCGTATGCTTGTCGGAAATCTATGAAGAGATTATGAATGGTTCTATTGAATTCTCATCCTTTTTCAAGTAGCTGCCTGAGAGTAAAAATCTGATCTATGGTCGATCTATTTTTGCTGAATCCGGCTTGGTATTCCCCTATGAAATTTTCTACAAAAGGTGTTAGTCTACTTAATAGGATGTTCGATAAGATTTTGTACGCCGTATTAAGTAGGGAGATGCCTCTATAGTTAGAGCACTTGGTTTTGTCTCCCTTTTTATGGATAGGAATTATTACACTTTCGTGCCATTTTGTTAGTATTTTCTCTTCGTTCCATATAAGTGTTATTAGTTTGTGTAATTGTCTATGTAAAGTTTCTCCTCCGTATTTAAGAAATTCGGCTGGTATATTGTCAGAGCCTGGAGCTTTTGCGTTCTTCAATTTGTTAATTGCTTGCAATGTTTCGTCTATTTTTGGTTACTCTACCAGTAGGTCCACCCCAAGATATATATCCTCTCCATGTTCTTCATCTTGGTGTATATTAAAGTGGTATATATTAAGGGGTATCTATTATCCTGCCTACCAACTAAAACCACCCTCTCTTACTTGTGCGCAGTTGACTATCGCACGTACCTACCGTATTCCGAAAGTGGGGTGGCCGCTGTAAGGCTGAACACTCCCTTCTCTTATCTTGATCTTATCTATTGTTCTGAAGCTATTTTTGGTGGCATTTTAAAGTAATTACTATTTTAATGGGAATAAGTCACAATTGAAGGTTAAAATAAGTTTATTGACGTTTGACATTAATCCAACTTGTACGTACGGAAATCGCCGGGAATCGCCGGCTATCGCCGTATTCCCGTTTTCCTTCACCAATCCTCCCGGTCCAAGGCATGCTCCTCCTCCAAACATCTAAATTCCATCGGTCTTTTAATTCTTTCATTCCGTGAGCGTCGAGGTCTATCTCTTTTTCTTCTTCCAGGGGGATTCCATTTGTGAAGTTTTTGGGGCCAGCGTTCGTCAGGCATTCTCAATAGGTGTCCAAACCATTTTGAATCACTTCTTTCTATTCTGTCAATGACCGTTTCTTTAGCATTCTTGTTATTTTACATATTCTGTGTATAGACGTTTTATCATAAATTCTAGATCATAAGAATCTTGAGCTAGGACGACTTGGTCATCCGGCAAAGTTCAGGGAGACCAGTACGTCATTTTCTATGAGGATTCCCATTCCCTGGCAGTGGTTTTTCCAATTTTGGAGGGTTGCCTCAATATATAAGATAAACAGTAAGGGTGACATACTGCCCCCTTGTTTTAGTCCTTTAGTTATTTTTAGGAGCCTGCGAGGCGGTAGAGATAACGGCCTATAGGAGTCTTATGAAACGAGTAGATAGAACAAGTCTGTTGCGAGTGGCATGCGCCTATAGGACTGTCTGCGGCAGCCTTAAGGACCATCACTGGATGTATTCCGTTGCATGTTTTGGCGGTGGAAATAAAAGAGCTTTATGAGAGAAGAGGCCCAAACCTTAATATGGCTGAGCGAAGACAGGTAAGGGAAAGGTCAGTTGTAAGATGGCAAGAAGAATGGAACAATACGGAGGATGTGGCACAGTGGACGAAAATGCTGATCGCGAACATAAGAGCTTGGGTGGACTGTGGCCACAGGCGACTGGATTATTTCCTGACGCAGGTGCTCACAGGACACGGGTGTTTTAGGGCCTACCTTTATAGGATCGGAAAGGCTGATACAGATGAATGCCTATATTGTGGATACTCGGACACTGTGACACATACGATGTTAGATTGCAGCAGATGGATAGTGGAAAGGAACAGAATGGAGAGAGAGACAGGTGTGAATTTTGTTACAGTGAGAGAAATGATTGAGAGAATGATTGAAAATAAATTAGGTTGGATTAACATACACAGTTATATCCGTGCAGTGATCAAGAAAAAGGAAGAGGAAGAAAGACAGTTGGACCAACGGCAAAGGTAGAGTGAATGATGCTAAAAGGTGAAGTTAGAACAGTGGGTCACACTTTTTGAGTTAGAATGCGTGAGTTTGACTGTGGGGAAGGAGGAAATGCCCTTCTGGGAATGATGCCGAACTAGGAGTGTAGATGTGTATGAATGGAGAATGAATGAATAAAGGTAGTGCTTCAGAAGTGATGCCGGCCTTACAGCGGCCATTACGCTTCCGGATCGCTGGATGACAGAGGAGGGTCTGGTTTAGCAGGTAGGCGTTCGGCGTGGACTCGGCGACGAGAGGGCATTTTAAAGTACCTCGGGAACTATCGCCGGGAGTACGAAGAACGAATCCTGCACTAAGGTTAGTCAGGCGGCGTCCTGGACTGAGATGTCTTTTGAAGATTCCAGACCCCCCCTCTATAAAGACGAAAAAAAAAAAAGTTACTTTTAGCTCTTGTTGTAAAGCTTACCACAATTTAAATCTTGGAACTGTATCATATGCCTGTTCTAGGTCGATGAAGGCTAGATGTACTTAGGTACCAACGCTATTCTTTTTTCTATTAATTGTTGGTGTATAAACAAGCTATCAGTGCAAGATCAAAGATCAAAGATTCAAACGTCAATACACTTATTTTAACCTTCAATTGCGGCTTATTCCCATTAAAATAGTAATTAGATCTTATCTCTGTCGTTAGCCTGGTTGGTGTTTCTCTTCTTCTTATTTCTTTGAAATGACTGCTCGGATGTAATTGTGAACACTATTCCGTCCCTCCGTACTTCCAGTCATCTTCACGATCATCTCTCTTTCAGTCACAGGTTTCATACCTATTTCTTTATATATTTTGTTTCTCTCCACTGTACATCTATTACACTCCAGCATTGTGTGAGTAACAATGTCGGAATATTGGCAGTATGGGCATTCATCTGGATCTATCTTTCTGAACCTATAAAGAAACTCCTTAAAACAGACAATTCACCCAGTCCCCTTAGGCTTGAATCAGCATCTTGGTCCACTGGGTAACATCCTCCTGGTTTTTCCACTATTCTTGTCATCTTTCCATTGAATCTTTCCCTTTCTTTTTTTATAGCTGTTGTCAAATGCTCTATTCTCTCTTAGGTATGTCTCTTTTCTACTGCTAACACATGCAGAGGAACACAACCCGTCGCAGATACAGTCCTGTAGACGCATGCTACTCGCAACAGACTCGTTCTGTCTACTTTTTCGTAATTCTAATATTAGGCATCTATATCTAAATATAATGAAAACTATTTTTAATTATTGTGTATTTATACAATAATTATTATGTTCTACATATTTAAAGTGCTAATGTTATTATTTAATTAGCGTTTTGGATTTTTGTATAGTGTGTGAAAGACACTTTTCATCAAATTGGATGAAAAGTGCTCAAGATAGAGCACAATGGACAAAAATGAGGGAGGCCTATGTCCAGCAGTGGACACAAAGGGCTGGGTGATGATGATGTGAAAGACACGTTAAATTGTCCTACTATTCTTTAAACATTTTTTACTTTACTTATATGCCCTGGGGGGCGGAGTTTAACCCCGAAAACCCCCACTGAGTGAGCCATAGATATGAATTTTGTCAACTAAAAAAAGTAGTTACAAGAAAAATTGTTTCAGGAAAAAAGTAATCAACCTCCCAACAATGTTATTATAATGGACAATGCGTCTTATAATGCGTCGTATCAATTATACTGACATCCAAGAAGCTTTATACATGTTACAAGATACAAGAAGAAGATGTCTTCTTGGATCATAATTATGTTATTTGCAAATTTCAACATACGACTCTGCCAAAGCCATTTTTCAAGAAAAAACGTATGAGTATATAATTTTTAAGAAAATAAATAAAAAAATTAAAAAAGAAGCCAGAGTGGATGATAGATACAATATTGCAGAGGATGGAAGAGCGAAGGAAACTAAAAGGTAGAAATGTCAATGAAAATAATAAGTTGTCTGAAGTCTAGTAATAATAGTTTATAAGGTAAGGTTGCAACATATGAGGTATAAATAGAATACTAGTAGTATCGATAGGTACTATAATTTATATTTAAAAGACCTACTCATATTTCCTCGCGACTTTCCTTCGCTGTTTAATTCAAGTACAAGGATTTTTCCGTTCATTTTGTAATCACTTTCAACTTCTAACACCGGAAACGTTACGTCTGCACCCCACGATTTGGTGTCAAAATTTATGAAGACATTATTAATTATCCAGTTATCCAAATGGTAGACCTTAGCGTTCTTTATACTACATCTGAAAAAAGAAAAAATACAAATTTTAACAAATAATATGGAAATGTTAATTAAATCTAAGCTAAACTACTTTATTCTGTCTCCACACTCGATATGAAACTTAAGAAGGATATGTTGCGTAACAACATTTTATATTTTTATTCAATTTTGGATTTAGTTTACCGACACGTACAAGCTGATTATAGCCGCAAATGTCAAACATGGAACAAATAATTTGGTTAATAATAGGAGTTATAGATTGCAATCACTTCTAACGACCTAAAATTTTAAAGCAACTAACCATTTCCGTATATTATAAGATAAATCTCTCCAGTAAGGTGGTTTTTCATTATAGAAAATAACAAAAATTTGAAAACACGAATGGGCTAATCCACGAAGTTGTGGAATAGACCAAATTGTTCAATACATAAATACGTAAAAGAATGCAAGAGTGGGCTAACCATCCTCTTTTAGTCATCATAATCATCCTGTCTTATTTCACATATTTCGAAAAATATTTAATACCTAATTTAATATTGGATTCCATGCACCAATTACGGATTCGTGAAAAAAATGTGATTTGTATAATAATAGAATAAAGTTCTCAACAGTTCAAGCAGAAAAACGTAAATTTGAAGTAACACTAGAGGTTCACCAACGAAAAGCAGACCATGCTAGATATGGTATGAAACAAGATGCAGAGTATGCAAAACAAAATCCTGAAAAAATTACAGTGATTGCATTTGACTTGATGCGGACGTTGCCCACACAAGTTATCAGCATTGTAATTTCTTACTATAAACGCCAGTTGCGGATTTACGTCATAGGAGTCCATACTTAGGCTACTAATAATGCTCATATGTATGTTTGGAATGAGACATAAGCATCACGAGGACCTCAAGAAATAGGATCCTGTTTACTTCATTATTTTAAAAATGTTGTTACAACAAAAAATGTAATACTATATTCCGATCAATGCGGAAGGCAGAACCGTAACATTAAAATGGCTGTCCTTTGCGATTTTTTTGTGTCACATCCTGATTTTGTGGTGGATAATATTGATCATAAATTTTTAGTCAGCGGACATTCTTACCTTGCCTGTGACCAACATTTCGGAGTAATAAGTAAGCAAAATTTTTTTTAAAGATATCTACGTACCTTACGACTGGATCAACGTAATAGCGCATGCACGAAAGAAAGCACATTTTAGGGTAATAAAGATGACAGAAAACGATTTATATTCTACTAAGAAGTTAGAAAGAAACATAAGAATATACAAGAAAACAAATCCATTTACAATTTACTACAAATACAGCAATAATGTAGATGTTCTCTTTTACTTAATAGATGTCAAAAAGAGGACATCCAGGGAAATACTTTAGCTAGATTATCTTTATCCCGATGGACGCCCAATAACCGAAGCAGAAAAAGGTTTTTTGGAATTACTTTCATTTATACCTCCAATACATCATGGATTTTACACAAGCACCAGAACAATAAGATCCACTATACAGAAAAAAGAAAAGTTCATTAACGATGAATATTAAGTATTTTTGTTACTTTGTTTTTTAATAAAGCATATTTTTAAAATTGCTATTGTTCAATTGTATTGTACTCCAGGTCTAATCCACATTCCATTTAAAATTTTTAAGGGCGCACTGATGCAAAAGCGGTCTAATCCACTAAAAAGCACAAATTTTTATATTTTTGTTAAATATACTAAAGATCTTCGAGTTTTTTGTTGGTAGTTAATGATTTGTAAACAATGACTACCTTTTGGCATCATATTTTAATTTTATAAAAGCTCAAAAAAACGCATACATTTTCATGAATTCATTTTTCGATATTTGGGGCTAGACCACTTTTGCTCTCATAGCCTCAAATAATACATAATATATTTTAATTTATTAAGTGGTTATCAAAATATCTTGCATACTAGTCCAGGCTGTGAGGCCGCTCCCGTTGGGAAAATGTTTCTGATTCGGTTTCTTTGCGGATTCCGGTTCAAAAATGTCCCCTTTAAACAAATCTGAAGGGTGCCGGGCGAAATTTTTGGGCAGAAATTGTTTAAACAATTTTTTTTAAAAAAAGTCCAAAAATAATTATTTTAAATCTAGAAAACGTTTTTTAAAGTTTTTTGGGCCATTCTAAACAAAAAAAGTCTCTTGTCATTTTTCTCTAAAGTTGATATTTTTCGAGTTATAAGCGATTTAAAGTCTGAAAAACGCAAAAATACGCATTTTTGAGGCTTGAAAACACATATGTAAATTATTAATTTTTGAGGTTACCAAGTGTCTAAATCAAAGTTTAAACATTCAACTTCAAGATTGTGAAGAGTAATCGGGGCTTATTTTAATTTAGACCGTTGTTTTTTAATTGTTAAATATGCACGTACACTCGATTTTTCAGCCGCCGCGGCGCCGCGCGCTACAGTGCGCCTCTATCGTACTTATGCATAGTTTACATATACTTACAAATAATTATTATTTATTGAGTATATATTTATTTATATCAATTGAGTTATAATATAAATTTCGTCTAAAGTCTAATAATATCTAGTTACATAAAATAATTGTACAAAAGATTGTTAAATAACACACTAATATCACACAGTAAAAGTATCTTTGTTTTCACAAAAATCTAAATCACATCCACATAATGGTACACAGTTGACATGATTTTTCTTGCAGTTGCAAGAGTTAGTTTTGCAAGTCTTTTTGCATTTGCACGGTTTCCCAACCCACCACTATCAGACATATAATATCCATATTGTGTAAAATCGAGAGTTTGATAGCGGGAATATATGGCATTTCGCCAAATATATGTTTTAGCGAAAGCTCTTAACAAGTGTTGGTAAATTGCGTCAGAGGTACAACGTATATTGGCTAGATTAAATTAAATTTTTCAGTCACACTGTCTTTTCGTCAAAAAGCAGCATTTTGTATTGTTATGTAAAAATCTACTTTAGGTTTTAGCACTAACTTAATATTGTTGATGTTATTACAAAAAATACAAACTAAATTTTCTTTGGTAAGTTTTCATTTAAGAAGAGGTACGGAAAAAGACATTTTAAATCTATTCACAATTTTTTTAATAACACATTAATAATATAATACCCTTTTAATGGGCATTAAACAATAGTCTTCATAATGATCGTTTAAGTAATAACAAATCAAGTATGAGCGCGCGATTGTTAAACAGGTAAAAACTTGCATTTTTGCGATAGTATATTGTTTTTAAACACCGCGCAATTTAAAATTAAGTTTACTAATATTAATATTTACTGCATTGTATTATTTAAATAATAATTTAAAAATATTATTTACAATTGATATAAATAAATATATACTCAATAAATAATAATTATATTGTTCAAATTTGGAAGAAAAAAAACTATATACGGTTATTACATTGCGATGATTGATTTATTTAATTAGCCCAATGACAATAATTAATACCTACATAAATAAATTATGGAAAAACTATGTTAATAAACTTCAAGGATTTGTTCGGGTTTTTTTGCGTAAGTGTATATGTAAACTATGCATAAGTACGATAGAAGCGCACTCTAGCACGCCGCGCCGCGGCGGCTGAAAAATCGAGTGTACGCGCATATTTAACAATTAAAAAACAACGGTCTAAATTAAAATAAGCCCCGATTACTCTTCACAATCTTGAAGTTGAATGTTTAAACTTCAATTTAGACACTTGGTAACCTCAAAAATAATAATTTACATATGTGTTTTCAAGCCTCAAAAATGCGTATTTTCGCGTTTTTCAGACTTTAAATCGCTTATAACTCGAAAACTATCAACTTTAGAGAAAAATAACAGGAGACCTTTTTTGTTTAAAATGACCCAAAAAACCTAAAAAAATGTTTTCCAGATTAAAAAAAATATTTTTGGAATTTGTTTAAAAAAAATTGTTTTAAACAATTTCTGCCCAAAAATTTCGCCCGGCACCCTTCAGATTTGTTTAAAGGGGACATTTTTGAACCGGAATCCGCGAAGAAACCGAATCAGAAACATTTTCCCAACGGGAGCGGCCTCACAGCCTGGACTATACGGTTATGGCATGTATATAAGTTGCCAATTTTAACGTGGGAAATTTAAAGAAGATAAAAAACCAAATATGTAATTAAAATAAATAACTAAATAAGGTTAACTTACATGTTAAAAATATTAAGAATAACAAAAATAAAATATTTAAATAAGCACTAAATCTTTTTTCAAACAACATTTGAAAAAATTTATATTCAGACAAAGTTTAAACCAAAAATAAAGAAATAATAATTTTTTATGAAAAGATGAGAAAGATGAAAGTTGAGTATCACATAATGATTTTAAATATACCTACGTGCCAAATATTTGGTACCAGAAAGAACAATAAGAAACTAAAGTCAGGGAAGTACGGCAAGATGCAGAGGTGTAGAAAAGAGAACGCATTAAATTAAGTTGAGTGCAGAACAAAATTTAATTTAATAATAATACTAATGGTAAGAAATTTATTTCTCGACTTTTTTACTTACGTAAAACTTGGACTCGATGCTATTTGAGCTGACTGTAAGAAAAGTGGTGCTAGTGGTGGTATAAAAAGTTCAGGTATTCCCTTTCCAAGCATTGGTGTTAGATTCTTCACGTTTCGTGCTAGACATTCTGATGCCTCCTTATTATCTCGTGGACATACTTCCACAAAAGAAGCTAAAATACAAAATAGTATGGTTAAAAAAGTTAGTGGTATAATTTTAGTTCTTTCGTAACGTAGTAGAAGTTGTAAGAGCATGTGATAATAGTGTCAGTGAAATTTGTACTTCATAAAGAAGCGTCGAAGCGTAGAACATGCCGATATTCACTATAGGTTATGAAGTCAATGATGATGATGAATATGGTTATGATCCATAATTAAGCTTTGATCTTATAATTGATTTGTAAATGTAAATAAGGCTTTTAAAGTCTGATCCACAACTGTTGTTACACAAAGTTAGCATTAAATTAGAGAACGAAGGACGGCAGATGGACAAAACGCATTCTTGAGTGGAGACCCAGACAAGATGCCTTTAGGAATAGAGGACGACCACCAACAAGATGGACGGATGACCTGAAACGGACACATCAAAATTGGATGCAGGCGGCTCAGGACAGAAATTTGTGGGGTGAACTACGGGAGGCCTATGTTCAGCAGTGGACGAGTATGGGCTGAATGATGATGAATGCTAGTTTGGTAAGATTTCTAAATGCGCATAATGTGCATTTTCCAAGATAGTTTTTATCGAAAAACATTCCTAACAATTTTATATGGATATATTTGTTTCTATATATTCGTAGATCTAGATTTGCATCATGCTTAAATTTTGAGAATACTATTCACTTTATCTTGGTTGTAGAGAGTTGTATTCTCACAGATTTCGACCAATTTTCAAGGTGATTTAGTCCATATTGCTGGTTTTATTGTATGAAATAGATATTTTTACTTTTTGAATATAAGACTAATTCATCAGCATTGTAGTCTTGCTTTCACAAGTTGTGGTATTATTGTGGTGCTTTATTAAAATCAGAAAAAGTGTTGCACTGATAAGAGATCCTTATCAGTGGTTGAATTCCATTTAGTTGGTATTTTGTGCTCGATATCATATCATTTACTAGGACTGAGAATAACAGAGATGACTACGTTCTCGGTGAATTGTCTAAGAATGTTTCTGGGATATTTGATGCTTACCGGCTATCATTCGTTACCTTAAGAACAAATGTATTGGTATGAAGATGAGAATTTATGTATACACAGGGTAAGAAAATGTTTATCAAGAAACAGATATTTAGAAATAAAAAGAAATTTACATTTCAATAATTATGCTTGTCTAAATAAAAAGTCACGTAAACTAGATTTTAAAATTAGTCCGTTGATTTATAAAATGAATCAAAAATCTTTGAAATTTGGCATATTTTCAAAAAATATAAGTATTGATAAACATATGGTACAATACTACGGGCATCGGGGAAAGCCAATTCGGTTTGGTTTCAGTGGACAATGCGTTGTGCCGAAAGTGGGTATTGTTTTCATACCGAATTATATACTGAAAAAAGAAATGATAAGCATAAAGTTCAAGGTTGTGAAGCATCTGTAATACTGAGTAATATATCTGTTATCGAAAAATACTCAAACGTCGTCTTATATTTTAACAATTTTTTCACAAGTTTTAATTTGATGATGATTTTAACGAACACAAAAATAGCAGTCACTGGTACAGTAAGATCTAACAGAATGATCAATTATCCGCTAAAGAAAGAAGGAAGACCGAAGTGCCATAGATTATAGATTTCATACTAAAAATGCACTAAATGAACTAACACAGTGTATACCAGTACAAAGTCAGACAGGGTGACTCGTTAAGCCCACTTCTCTTTAATATAATAATGGACGAAATAATACAAGCAGTTCGTAAATGGTATGGTTACAGAATGGGGAACAAAGAAATCCAAATATTATGTTATGCAGACTACGTCGCATTAATCGTCGAGACAAAAAACGAGCTCCAAAGATTAACACACATCTTCAATGTAACAAGCAAGAAAAATAATCAAGCAGGAAGCAAGGATTAGATATCTGGTAACAGACATAACTAGTTACGGAGATGTTGAAGAAGTATCACAACAAAGCTTAAAAGCAAGTATAGCGGCGGGATCTCTTAATGACACGATCTGGAAAAACAAACACCTAAGACGAGACGCAAAAACAGGAATCTATAAAGCAGCAATTCGACCTATATTAACATACACTGCGGAGACAAGACCTGACATATCTAAAACGAGACGACTACTAGAAACAAAAGAGATGAAAATACTTTGACGAATATCAGGAAAAAGTCTGTTGGATAGGCAGAGAAGCGAAAACATAAGAAGAACATGCAATACAGAAGACATAAATGGATAGATGACAAAACGGAAACAGGAGTAGAACGAACACATTAGTAGAATGGCAGAGGAGAGGATAGTACAAATAGCACGAGATAAGTCACCAAATGGATCGAGAAGTATTAGCAGACCAAGAAAAAGATGGTGCGATAATTTAAACAATTTAGGAGTCTAATATTGAAGAAGAAACAGGCTTTAAAGCCTACATACAAGAAGGAAGAAGAAGATACTAAAAATGAAGTGTTTGGTATCATATCGAAAGACAATAAATATGTCAGAATGTTGTCAAACCACCAAGTGATGAGTCCATCAGACAAAGTAAATTGATGGTAACGGATTGAAAAAAAAAAACAGATGAGCATTAAACTACTTCACTGTATATATAATTATAATACATTCATGGATGACGTGGATAAATTGGATTGGTACATCAATAAATATCGAATACAAATACAGGGCAAAAACGATACTTCACAATTTTTACAAACGTTATTGATATACTTAACAGTTGTAAATGCATATAATGGTCACGCTTATAAGAATATACCGCTATATCGAATTTAGAAGGCAAATAGTTAGAGCTTATCTTCAAGTAAAGTCAATTTTTAACCCAAAATTCTTGGCTGACCCTCATTGCAAAAGCTATCTCAAAAATGTGTCTCACAGTCAGAGTTGCCAGGTGAAAATTTTTGTCCTCCCTAAATTGAACATTAAAATGTCCCTAGAAATCCCATTGGAATAAATGTATATATGATTGCCTAATTCTGAGTAAAATGATGGAATGTATTGATGGTTGCCTAATATAATAACATGGAATTAAAAAAGGTAGAATTTACCGAAAGTACAAGCTGATTATAGCCACAAATGTCAAACATGGAACAAAAAATTTCGGTATAGCAGTGTTGGCATGTTTTTATAATGTAGATGCTGTGTAAATATTTGTTTCTTTGGAGATTAATTGCAGTTAATTATTAGAATTTTTTTAGCAATTACACTTTGGTAGATTAGGGGATAGATTTGGCAATCGTCAAATGAGCAGTTGCCAGATTACAACATGCAATTAATGCAATTAATCTCGAAAGAGACTAATATAAATCATAAATATCATTATATCATAAAATAGTATCATCAAAATATACTTTTTAAAAGCTTTATCTCTTTATATTTGAAGCATACAATATATGCATTATAAAAACATGCCAACACTGCCAAGCCGAAATATTTTTGACATTTGCGGCTATGTTCAGCTTGTGCTTTCGGTAAACTCAACCTAAAAAAATAATTATTGTTTTATACCTTTATTTCAAAAATATTTCATTTTTAAACGGTATAATAGCGAGGATTTGAATAGATTTAACAAAAACGGAATAATGTACTTATTTATGGCTTTGAATATTCCATTTAATATATTTTTAAGTATTATTCACTTAATAAAATTATTACAAAATACAACTTGAAAAGCATTGAGATGGTGAAGCATATAATTTTATTTATATATTTCCACGAATCCTGGGATTCACCCGATTCCTACTGTAAATCCCCTAATTATTTATTTTATAAAACATAAGATTTTTGTAAATCCCCTAATTCCTGCTCCATAATTTGCTTCTCCTCTATGAAAATATATAGGATTATATTTTTGGCAGAAATCTATTTGGTAGCATAAAATAAAGATTCCAAGAACGTGGACAGTTAACGACATCTGATAATAGAATCCTTTAGTAGTTTACTAGTAGTTTAAGTATTTGTAATTAAAGATCGCTTATTTAATACTGTTAATACGAAGTGGTTTTATACTTGAATTAAAGAAAATGTTATTATAATAGGCCTATGTAGGTAAATATTTGAGCCGGTCAAAAATCCCTAGATTTTACCATAAATATAAAAAAAACCCTTTGTCCCTTTTATGCTGAAATATCCCTAGATTCGGGATAAATCCCAACGAAGGAAAACAGAAAAAATCTGCAATATGTAAGACTAATGTATCAAATTTAATGGATTACATAAATATAAAATGTATGGTAAAATGACATTGATAAATATATTAAGTTTAGTGTAAATTAATGCCTATCTACAATAAAATATGTTCTTGATAAATTAACCGTGCCATGGCACCTGCCACGATCCCCATTTGGGATACTAAAAACACAAAAACATTGACAGAATGACAACTTTTAAATTTTATTCAATGAACTATGTATCTTTTTAGAAAAAAGTAAACTTTTAACAAAAAAAAAACAGAAAAAAAAGTTAGCAGCGAATGGGTTAATATAAGAGAAGCGATGGCATAACTTTGTTAGGAATCATAAGTTAAATACCAAAATTAAACCAATTGTGAAGAAAACTATTGCTAGCATTTCCATGTTCATATTTAGTTAAATGTGGATTAAGTACTGTAACTGATTTACTGGTACAAAAAAAGAAATCGATTGGATATATAACACAAAGTGGAAACTTGAGATTGAAGTTAACCAAATTGGAACCTAATATAAAATATCTGTGCAGCAAGCATCAAGCGCAAGGATCTCACTAAATTAAAATAATAATTTAATAAAGAAAAATCTTTTTTCTGCAGCCGTTCCGAAAATAAAACTTTCGGTATGATTTATTAAATCGAAAGTACCATGTTACACAATGGAGGCAAAGATGAAAACACTAGGTGCTTTTTTGGACCTATCTATCGATAGCCTAGATCAAGTTCTTTTATTATAAAAATTACATCTTTATGAAAAATCATTTCTCACAGATAGGTCGCAAAAGGTATGCCTGGAGAAAAGGGGATGTAAGGTTTA